CGAGCAGGAGGAGGAGGAGGAGGAGGCGGAAACCTGGAACCGCGCGCAGGAGACAAAGGAAGAAATTTTACAAGTTGAGGATGCGGCGCCGTCGAATGCACTCAACAACTGTGCAAAATATACCAGTTTGATGATTCGTATGTTGCCGAGTTTACTGGTGTTTTGTCTCTATTGGGCCCAATCAAATGAATACTATTATACGTACTTGTTCTTGAAACATTGTGGATTATCACAGGCCCAATTGAGATTGTGCGATGGATTACAATATGTGGGTTTTGCCATAATGTTGAACGTTATTAGCAGATTGACTCGCGTTAAAAACCAAGGTGTGGCCATATCGCAATCGTTTGTTTTGATATTTGGTCTAATCATGAGTATGATTGCAAGAGGATTTCAAATTGCCGCTCACTACAACTCGGCACTGTCCCTGTGGATAGTGTCCGCTATAATATCAATTGTATGTCCGGCTTCTGGCGAGATTTTACGAAGTAACGTGTACCAGACTGGTGTAAATCCTAGTACAAAGAAACCGTACCCAACTATCGGGTTCATTTTAATAGTAGCGAGATTGACGACAACCGCCTTGTTCGGTTGGGTGTATGCCTATGTTCAATGCCCGTTTATTGTTACCGAGTGTTTAATAGCGAGTACTCTGATTGGTTCGGTGATGTTGCGATTTTATAATGTTTAGCAATTAAAAATGTGAATAAAGAGAGTGATGGATTAAACTATACCTTTAATTTATTGGCTCGGACAATCTTCCAACTTTACACATCCTGCAGATTCAGATCTAACATAACCCTCTTTACACACACAGCCCGATTGGAATATCTGCAACGTAAAAAGTGTTTTTTTTTGTAAAGAAACCGTAGTGTTTTTTTTGTAAAGAAACCGTGTCGATGTATTAAATAAATTACCCTTGTACAAAATAAAACTTCGGGTTCATCACAAGTGGGTTGGCAATGCGCATCCCCAAGTCTCCAATATTCCAGCGGTCCACATGTTTCTACCTCATTTACTGTTGGATCCAAATTCAATTCCTTCGACACGGCAGCAACGTCCACTACGCCTACTATAATAAATTAACATTTGTTGTTGAAAATGGATTGTTTTTTTTCGTAAATATTTTAAAACTTTGAGTACTCACGCAAACTAGCCGCAATTACAGAAAAAACGATCAATGCAAACATGGTTTGACCCTATAGCGGCGAAGCGGATGATATGAATGTGCGACGAATCTATTACACTAGGCGCACTGCCGCCTAGATAAATTTCTCCACTTAATGGATTTGTTATTGTACGGTGGGGAAATATAAAGATAATCAAAGCATAATGAGGGTAAAGGTCATCGGATAATCTACAACTATATTCCGTTTCTCTAGTCGATAGAGTTTAATAAATTTTAAATCAAATTATTTTGCTATAAAAAAACATGGGCAAGTGCAAGACCCAACTGATTTAGACAAACAACATTGCACCTAGCCAAAGTCTCGACCACATGCGCTCCAAATTGGTTTTACACCGACACTTGGCGTTTTCCGGCCACCGGCTCTTGGTTAGAGCCGAGGCAAATTAAATTTATAAAGTTCCAGGGTTGACCATATTTTTGCCAAATTGGTTTTACACCGACACTTGGCGTTTTCAAGCCACCCACTCGACGCTAGAGGTTGGGTAAAATAAATTTAAATGTTATTCTTGCAAAGACGCCAGTTGACCACATGTGCTCCAAATTGGTTTTACACCGACTCTTGGCGTTTTCAAGCCAACGAATAGCCTCTAGAGGCTGAGTAAATTCAATTTGATTTAAATAAATTACAGAAAATAATTCAAATGTGGAGCCAATTTGGAACCAACAATGCTCCAAAAGCGATTTTTGGGCCAAGCGGGAGCCCAGCCCCCCCATATTTCACAGCGTCATCTCCCTGCTCCTCTTTTACTTCTGGACAATGTGAAATATTAAAGTAAAAGAAGCTCGCGCGCGAGACTGCATCTCTTTATATAGTTACGACCTCCGACCCCATACTAGATAACGAAAAATGGTGGGGATGATCAAATTTTCCCAGTCTCTCGTGGACCACCGTGAGATGGAGACGTATGTAAAAAAAAAATAAAAAAATATAACATTTAAACTACCACTCGAACCCTAGCAATTCCCAAAGTTGACTACATTGACCACGTGTGAGAAAAACCACTCGAGCCCTAGCAATTCCAAAAGTTGACTACATTGGCCACAAATTCATTTTACCCGACACTAATAAATTTCAACCAATTGTTAAGCTATATATTTTCGAGCCGCTAACATGTGCTCCAAATTGGTAACAATGGAACAGATTGAACGGAACGGTTCGAATGGAACACTTTGGCTCCAAAGTGTTAATCGGAGGCTTGTTGTACCAGCAAAGATTGAACGAAACAATGGAACAGATTTGGACCACTTTGGCTCCAGTGTTAATTGGAGGCTTGTTGTACCAGCAAATTGGTTTGGATTTTTCAAGCCACCAAGTCTCGGAGGCCTACAGGTGTGATTGGTCGACTTGGAAATTTATAAAATTTAATTAATTTACCTAACCTCTAGATTCGACTCGGTGGTTGGAAAACGACAAGTGTCGGTGTAAAACCACTTTGAAGCCAAAGTGGTCAGCTCAATTTGGTCCCTTGAGGCCACTTTGGATCCAAAGTCTTAATCGGAGGCCTGGTTAGCAGGCTTCAGCAAACCATTTTGGGGCCAAAGTGGTCAAAAGGGAACAGATTGAAGAAACTGCTCGAGTGGACCAATTTGGCTCCAAAGTGTTAACCGGACGCTTGGTATAGCAAGCGTCCGGTCGCCACTTTGGATCCAAATTGGTCAAAAGGGAACAGATTGAAGAAACTGCTCGAGTGGACCAATTTGGCTCCAAAGTGTTAACCGGACGCTTGGTATAGCAAGCGTCCGGTCGCCACTTTGGATCCAAATTGGTCAAAAGGGAACAGATTGAAGAAACTGCTCGAGTGGACCAATTTGGCTCCAAAGTGTTAACCGGACGCTTGGTATAGCAAGCGTCCGGTCGCCACTTTGGATCCAAATTGGTCAAAAGGGAACAGATTGAAGAAACTGCTCGAGTGGACCAATTTGGCTCCAAAGTGTTAACCGGACGCTTGGTATAGCAAGCGTCCGGTCGCCACTTTGGATCCAAATTGGTCAAAAGGGAACAGATTGAAGAAACTGCTCGAGTGGACCAATTTGGCTCCAAAGTGTTAACCGGACGCTTGGTATAGCAAGCGTCCGAGTCTCTGTTGGAGGCTGGGGTAAATCTCGGCAATGCATCTCATCGTCACATTTCGATGAGAATGGGGCGTTTTATTGCCACTTTTCGCGTAATATAGCATAGGTACTAGATGATACCTAGTTGTTGCCAATACTTTATGAAAACTAGAAGCAAGTTGTATGTATTATAGGTATACGGCAACGTTTGAAAAAAATACAAGTTGATTTGTGCAATTTTTATTTACAAAGACCAATATAGAATCCAATTGTGTTTTTTATCACTCATCGTTTGTTTCAAGAGAAATAACAATAATCAATGACAGAGTAAAACGCGTTGCTTGTATCGTCCACGTTCCAAATCACCAACAGAATTCCGCTTTGTTCCAGTTTACCATTTTCAATGTAAAAATCGAGCGTATCCATGGGTTGTTTGTTGGGCGAGATGATGCTAGACACTTTGCGTAGGTATCTTCGCGCGATGGGCATAGAGTGATCCCAATTGTTATACGAGGCAAACAAATCGTATCCGGTTGTTTTGTGTATTGCCGTGTGCGTGTATTTGGTAGTCAACAGTCTATGGGTAGAGTTGAATGGTTTGTATAGAGTACTAATATCGTTCTTGTACCACCTATACGCGCCGTATTCGTCCAATTTGGAGAATCGAGATATACCACCACTAGCAATGCGGCCGTCGGGCGGGCCCTTGTCCGGAAACCCCTTCTGGGCTTCTATAGACTGAGGCTCGTACACCACAGACCCACAGTCTACGTTAATCTGTTTGCTACACAAGGCCCCCCGACTTGGTGGGGTGCCCAGGTATCCGTGACGGCTAATAGAGGCATTGGCCGTCAATTGCATTCTACTCTTTGAGGATGTGCGATAGTCGCATACTTTTATGGCATTGTTAAACACCAAATTGGCGGGACACGTCATTTCTGTAGCGATTCCGTGATAACACATGTGGAACTTTTGCGGATTGCATAAACTAGCCGCATACCCAGTTTCTTCACACAACTTTTTATCTAGACAGTCGTTTCCATTGTTTGAGGACGAGCCGCCGCCGCCGCCACCGCCGCTGCTACCGTTTCCTTCACCAGGATTGTTACCGTTTGGAGGCTTGTTGTTGTCGTTGTTCGAGGTACCGTTGTTGTTGTTGTTGTTGTTGTTGTTGTTGTTGTTGTTGCTGCTGCTACTGCCGCCATGATCATGGTGTGCTCCACAGGATGCAGAGCCACCGTTGTTGTTATCATTGTCGGAGTCGACGGCGGGCGGTTGTGTTGTACTGTCGTGGTTGTTGTGATCTCCGGGCGGCCTTTGAGTCGGCGATTCTGTAGTTGTGCCACCACCACCACCACCACCACCACCACCACCACCAGCAGCACCACCGCCACTCCCGCTACTGCCCGTGTCTGCCCAGATACCGCCGCAGTTGCAACCACAACCTTTGATTTTTTGAATCTCACCGTTTACATTGTATATCAATACTATACAAAATATTATAAACGCGCATGTTGAATACTGCAACATGATACACTTGTAATGCAATTTGTATCGATCTTGAAATGGCAAACGACTATCCATTCAATCTTTATACTGCAAAGCTGTTGTAAAATCACTGCCATTTAACCCGTATTTATCGTTGATAGGGCACCACTATTAATCGGGGATTATCAGCAAAACATCAACATCCTGCCGTATACGAAGAAAAAGGTGATCTAATAATGTTGTTTAGACTCATTAGAGGTTAATTACATGTTTAAATCTCGGGCAAAGTGGCGTCGTTAATACTCTCCAGATTAGAAACAAACACGACGCGTTGTACTTCTCGCATCAGCATTTGAAGATTTGCATAAACGACGGGAGCCATGGTTATATTTTGGGGTACGCCAAATGCGGCCAAATTGTCTGCAATGTTACTCTCAGAGAGCGGTGTGCCGGCACCATCCCTATAATATATGGTGGTTATTTCGTTTTTATTGTTGTAAATGTTGGTGAAAGAGAGACCCTGTGTCGTAGAGTAGCGTTGGTTCGGTTCACTACCCCAATTGGCCAATCTATCCAACAAAATGGACAAATATCTGGTTATATTGTCCTGACTAAAGTGGTTGGCGTACATTTTTTGGGGCGTATCGGGAAAGGCGGTTAAAATTAATTTGCCGAAAATTGAACGTTGTTCGACAAATAGACGAATACTGTCGAGATCGGGCAACGTGACCGCCACGCCGGGCAAGAAGCGTCTAAGCAGGGCAGAGTCCAATTTTCGGGGATAATTTGTAGTGGCACACAGGAACACGCGATTGGTCAACGAATCGTTGATTTCTTGCAACATGGTCGTGGTGATGGATTTTTGTGCCGGCGTAACGTCCGATCCTCGGCCGGTAAAACTGTCAATTTCATCAAACAATATAAACACGCCGGGGTAGGTTTGAGTGGCGGACGCTGCTCGCAATATGTTGGTCAGTTTTTTCTCACCCTCGCCCACGTACTGGTCGGCCAACTCGGAATTGCCCAATTTGATGAACAAATAGTCCAATTCTTTTGCGATAGCCTCGGCAAACATGGTCTTGCCCGTGCCCGGGGGGCCGTATAGTAACAAGCGATTATACGAGGACTCTGCACTCCACCCGGCTTTAATTTTTTTCAATATAAATTTAATGTCCCTTTTCACCGATTCCATGCCGATTATATTACCAAATCCAATCTTGGGAATTGATGAAAATTTGGTCAAAATGGAGGAATCTGTTGAACCACCGCCGCCGCTACTAAAACTAGAGTCTTCTAAAAATTCCCTAATCACTTGAACTGGTGTAGACGATTTGTAATTTAACGCCAACCCGTCAATTTGATCCAACAACACTCTAAAGGTGGCGTCGTTATAATAGGCGGTCGCGCTCAATTTGCCCAAACACTGAGCCAACAGCTGCCATCGGCCGAGCACCGTGAAACTTTTCAATTGTAACGGTATAGCGGGCCCGGGACGAGAGCGCTCCGTATCGCTCAGTACTTGCAAAATTTCATTGTATATGGGCATCAAAGTATTTCGCAAATTGTTAATTTTCACTCTACTAACAGAGGTCATGTTGGTCACAGCCTTTGCCCCAAAATCTAGTCTGTTTGAGAGATGATCCACGTTGTCAAATTCTATACCTTCGTCAATGTCCAGTACAAACACCATGCTTACCCTCCTAAGCGTTTTTAAAAAAAAAATAAAAAAATAAAAAATAAACCGCGCTCGCTGCTCGTTCGCCGCAGTTTTAGCTATAAAGGATATTGTAATTGAGCACCAACATGCTTAAAACTGCCAATAATATTCCCAACCATGTGCGAAACCGCTCGCTCATTATAGTATATCTTATTTACGTAGTAGTAGTAGTAGTAGTAGTAGTAGTAATAGACGAATAAATTGTGGGATCATTGGTGGACGTGTTTAAATTTTCATCGGGCAAGAGTACTGTTAAAAACTTGTTTTCAGTATAATGAACGATGGTTCTTTCGCTCGGATCTTCTATGCTCGAATTTTTCACGTACATGATGTTGTGTGTGGGTTTTGCGGAAAGTATACGCCAAGGATCCGACTCCTTTTTGCGCCATTTAAACAGAGGACACCAGTCGTCGATAAAGGACTCGTACGTAATGATATGCCCATCACTACCACCACTTGTAATCATTGGATATTCGTCCACCTTGTACGTGGGTATTTTGTCGTATATCCACCGGTAACGGAGAGTGGTCGAGTATCCAAACATGTGGTTTAATAGTTTTTGTTTAATTTTCAACTTGAGCGCCATATGATTTTCCACATTGGCAGGCACTCGATGCCAAGTGGTGAGCTGAGGGGCGCCCGAATACGTTATACCGACAAACCATTTTTGTTTATAATTTGCCATGAAAAACGTTTCCGTCTCTTTAAACTTTTTCATGGTAAACTCCTGCGCCTTTGCATAGTCGAAGAACATCTTTTCAATTACGGGAGACACTGTGTACGCGCACGTGCCAAACACACACCATTCCTTTTCACTCTTACCGCCCCCCACACACTTTAACCGGCTTAGCTCGTTGAATTTTTCACGAGACTTTACAGTCACCGTGCTCTTGTGAAACGTCTCTTCTTCGTAAAGATATAAAGGCGCGTTCAACTTGAGCGTGAAACTCGCCTCAGCGGGCGGTACGGGTTTGATATTCGTGGGGGCGGGTGCTGTGCTGGAATGAATGTGGCTGCGCTCGAATGCGGCAATTGCCATACCCACGGTGCACAAAACAACTAGAACAACAATAGCCAAAATGTAAATTTTGTGCCAGCCTTGCATCATAAATGGTAATAAAAAACGTCTTATTTTGGAGATAGTACACCACCACCACCACCACTATAAATATCTACAAAAAATTGTAGATGCCGAGTTTTTATTGTTTGGGTGCGTGCGCACATGTTATATGCGAACAAGTTTGGACAAGATTCCATCCATGGTCAGTTTACCCTCTTTTTTGTTCGTTTTGTACACGAGCCATGCGATTCCCACACAACTCAATGTTAATAAAACGACAACAATCATGCTTATTTATCCTCTATAAATAGTACTGTCTGTTATATCGGGAATGTCGTCAAATTCAAAAGCTGGTAACGCGGGCGGTTGCGGACGTATAACTGGTGGCCGCCGAGGAGGCGACGGCGGTTTGTGGATGCGTTTATAAAATAGGTAAACCACAAAGCCTATTACACTGGCCACCAACAATATAATACGCCAAGTCTGATCGGCCTTTTTGGGGGCGGGAAGGCCCGCTATGGGGTTCGACGGCAATTTGATCCAACGAGGTTCGAATATAAATTCGGTACTCGCCCACAGAAGCAACATTAATTTTTCAAATTTGGTGGTCGGCCTAAACTCTATGGCAGATTCGTTGGTATTCAATCGATAATTGATCTCTCTCAAATTCATCGTGTCGGGAAATGTTTGCGTTATCGACGGCGGCATCAACACTAGAGATTGGGCCACGTGTTTCGGTTTGCCCGAAGTACGAGACACATTTATCACCAAGATTCCTTTGCGGGTCATGGTAATAACGTATCGATCGGCCAGTATCTGGGTCCAGAAATTGACAATTTCATCATCGAGCGTGCTTATGGTCGACAATTTTTCGGCCAACGTGTTCTCACCAATCCTCTCCAGCATTTTCGAAATTCGAGACACAAACGATACCGCCGCGCCCACCGATGAAATGCTATATTCGAATCCTTGCAGGATCTCGGCATAACTACCATCGTCAAACTTGTCCGAGAACAAGTGCACTTGAAAGTCTAGAAATGCAGCATATGGTGCAAGATTAATGTGTAAATCGGGCGCCATAGCTAGATATTCCTCATATGTATGGCGTTCCTTTATTAAACTCAAAAGTTTTGGAAACTCCTTTTCATAGCTTTCTTTCAACTTTGACAAATAACTACAATATTTAAAAGTTTTATCTAATAAAGATTCCATTGCTTATCTCTATTAGAGAAGAAGGCATGATATCTTGTTTAAAATTTTATTTTTTTTATTCTTTTTTTCTCATACCTCTTCATCTCACGGTGGTCCACGAGAGACTGGGAAAATTTGATCATCCCCCACCATTTTTCGTTATCTAGTATGGGGTCGGAGGTCGTAACTATATAAAGAGATGTAGTCTCGCGCGCGAGCTTCTTTTACTTTAATATTTCACATTGTCCAGAAGTAAAAGAGGAGCAGGGAGATGACGCCGTGAAATATGGGGGGCTGGGCTCCCGCTTGGCCAAAAATCGCTTTTGGCGCAGTGTTGGGTCCAAATGTGCTCCACATTTGAATTATTTAAATTAAATTTTAAATTTAAATTGAATTTACTCGGCCTCTCGAGTCAAATCCCTGGCTTGAAAACACCAAGAGTCGGTGTAAAACCAATTTGGAGCACATGTGGTCAACTCGAGAAATTAAATTTAAATTTAATTTGCTAGGCATCTAGAGTCAAATCCCTGGCTTGAAACCGCCAAGTGTCGGTGTAAAACCAATTTGGAACATTTATGGTCAGACTTTAAAAATTTAAATTTTACCCAGCCTCTAGAGTCAAATCACTGGCTTGAAAACACCAAGAGTCGGTGTAAAACCAATTTGGGTCCAATGTGGTCTGCTTGAAAAGGTA